GCAAAGGGACGCTGGACTAGGTACTAGTTTTTCAAGAATCTAGTTTGCTGCCTGTCCTCGGTACAAATTGTCCGGATGTGCTGTTATGATATGCTTAGGTGTTTAAGAACCATGTATTATACTACTCTGTTGTTTGTCAACTTGAATGAGTGCTCTAAATGATCTTCTCCACGTCTATGCACATCATAAATTAAGGCTTAATGTTTACGCCGCTGCACTCATCAAAATGCAAAAAAAGACTGAACATGTGGACAATTTTTTTCGTCACTGTAATCTTAGCCGTCGAAGATGTCGAATTCTTCAGCTGACCAAACGGGCAAGGGAAAATTACTCCAGCGGAACAGTAAACCTGTCAAGTGGGCGATTGATGGTGATGCGTGGCTGATGAAATATCCTGCAATGATGAAGGCGAATGACATAGCGAAGGAAGCGTTCATCAAACGCGAGGTTGCTCGTGACACATGTGAGGGCACACATCTGTGTCTCACGAAAATCAGCGAACTCCATCAACGAAGTGACAAACTAAGGCGCGGAAGCGTAACGGAAATTTGATGTCGGTCGGAAAATGGATGATGAAACGAGCTGGAGGGGTCCTTCAAATAGTTTCAGCACAGCTGCACATCTCCCCCCCTCTAAGAAGAAATAGCTCCCAACTTCCCAGGTAAAAATGCAGGAAGCCCAATGCTCCAAGGTAGTCGAATACCCAATACTGCTGTGTAAAAACTCCCAGGACTCGGCTTCGAAGATGCAATTGAAAAACTCCAACCTGTAGAATTCCCAAACTGCTTCAAAGTTGAAACTCTTCTGCATGGACAACCACTTCAAGGTCCTGTAAAGTCAGCAACAACTGCTCCAAAATACTCCCACACGAACTGAAAATTCTGCACGAGTAGGAATGCCGCTTGCAAGCTGGTCCCAACACAGCTCCAACAGTTACCGGTGCTCCCAGCTGCCAAATCTTCTTGGTTCGATACATTTTCGGACGGGTGGCGATGGTGGTCGGGGTCGTGTTCACACAGTAGGCGAAGGTAAGCGAACGTCGATGAAGGGGATAGCGAGCTTTGGCGAGAGGCTGACAACGCTTGCGATGGAAAGACACCTGTACCAAACCGCTTCAATGAATAACCTCGAGACAAACTCAGGGTCAAATGACGCCCGCTGCATCAACTTCTTTGTCTGTACACGCCGAAATATTCGGGAAGTACCGAAACAACTACCACTCTCCCTTCGTTCCATGTATCCAGAAAATATTCCGAGAATATCGGTCGATAATGCTCGTACCCCTGAAGATAGCGGGCACAACTCCAGCTGTAAAGTCGTAAACTGCTCCAGCGAAAATGTCGGAACCCCACCTGGTACTTCGCAAATACTGCCACTACACTCACAGATATCGGTAAAAACACCCAGGCGTCACGGCGTCCTTTAACAGCGCCCCCACGGTTGCTCCACCAACTGTACGCATGAACTGGACCCTTTATATTAGAGAACACCGGAGTCCACCGCCTCAGCATGATGTTTTGGCCGTCGATCGGGGTCAATGTGCATCATAGGCCGTCGATCTCCGCCCAGCTGTTACCCAACTCCATAGATTCTCCGATACACCTGACTAGCTGCTCCGTTAAATTTCGAAGGATTCCCCAGTACGGCACCCTCTCGTTTAGTAGCGCGCCGACGTTCACCCATCGTCGCACTCGCCCAGGCACCAACAGTAGGTCCTAGGCTTTCGCGCATTGACAAGTAGCCTCATTAACCAGGGACTACTCCGGAAAGCTCCGCTGCACTCTGAAATTTTTGGGAACACTGTTGATCTTCCAGCTGTAACACTCTCTGGTACCCCTTGCCAGCTGGTCGTGCCAATGTTCACCCATCTCGCGGCTGCTGCAGGTTACCCAAACCTGCTTCGCTGCTGCTCAACTAAAGAGAATCCGCAAAGATAGGACTGCGAACGCTTCTAGTCAGAGGAGCTTTAACGAGCTCGCCTACTGACCGCTGGACAGCTCCCTCCTTCGTCGGAAACTCGTCAAACTACACCCGAACATTTCGGAAACTCCTTCTGCTGCACCAGGTGAAACCCTCAGCTCCGCTGCAACAGTAACTCATGGAATTTCGGGGACACTCCATCAGCGCAATGTAGTTGCAAGTTCACCCCCATTATTTAGCCAAGAGCCGTCGATTAAAAAGTCGACACAGCTATCTGGTGGGGATGGTGATTTCCGGGCAACGTAGCTGAGCGAGCAGCAGCCCGATCGCCGCTAACCCTTAACTAAGCTCTAGAACTCCCGTCGTCCTACTTCCACTACTTTAGCTCTAGGCAGTGAACGCTTTCGACGACCGATGGAAAACACTTAAAACATACCCGAGGGTGGTGGCCTCCATTTCTGTTGATCGTAGGGGTATGAATCGCTGGTCCATGAAAACGCCTCCCCACGCAGGAAGTTGCCCTCGCTGAGTACACTAGCTCCAGCACAGCATCATCACCTCCAGATGACCGTCGCGGTGAATAGCGCCGAGGTCGTTAATCCCAGCTGCTCCCACACAATTGCACACCCACATGTGCCTCGTGCGATCGTGTCGTGCCGAAATTGTCGGGGCCGCCCATTGTCGAAAACTGTTTCCGAAGTCCCGTCCATCGTCTGCAACTAGACTGCTGGAAATGCCTGTACAACATTTGACGCAGCTACAGCTCAGCTCCCCTGCGTGGCGTGCCAGACGAACATCGGCGTACGTCCCGCCAATTTCGCTACCCCACGCGCTCCTGATGACCAACTCCCGGCCACCTGAGGACTCTCGTGCACTTGTCTCCGCGGGACGAAGCCTTCGTTTCTTCCGGAAGCCAATTCGAATACTTCGTCAGAACACCCGAAAATTACGAAAGCTCTAACGAAGGTACTAAAAAAACATGGCGAAAACGTCGCCACACCATGATGGAAAATAATTCCGCCCACGACAGGGGAAGGGGAGGACCGGCTAATCCCAGCCGTCCATCGGACACGATCCGACGGCATCGGAAACGCCCGCGTAATTAATCTCCGCGTCGTCTGTTCGCCATTAGCATCCTTCCGCCCCCTTCCCCGATAGGGTATGCTCCCCTACTGGAAACCTAATGGACAGGAACGTAGCTCTGATACCAGCTGTTATGAATTATAACACAGAGAATGGCGCAGTGTTCAATAAGGGGAACGTGATTACATAGTGCTGATAGAAATGCGGCCTAGGCAATATATAGGGCGATTGACGAGGGTCGAATGTCGAGGGTTTGACCAGTCAAGGGCTCGATAGTCCCGAGGATGACGGAGTCAAAATGGGTTCGGAGCGACTGGGGATCAAGTTGGGGCCGAATACCGTAATCCCCCGTATATAAGACCCGCCGAAATAGTCAGCCCACGGGTGGCTTATGCGGGGGATAGCTTATGATATGACGCATTTTTGAGAGTACCCGCTTTTCTGGGTTTGCATTTTACATAACACCCTGCACGTTTTTCTTGCCTTTAAATAGTATTCTGTCCTTCATTACCAAGGTTCGCTCAGCTGCAAAAATACGAACACGATTAAAATCACGTCACCTGCCATTCCCAGCGCAAAGACGGGCAGAAGAATCAATACAAGTGGCAACATGAAATCGAAAGACAAAAAGTGTCGAGAGGATCTCGACCGTCCATCTTGCTGTTGAACCACCTCGATCGCGTCAGCAATGGTCGTGACTCTGTTCACAGCACTCATACGAGATTGGTCAATGACACCTGGCACTACTGCAGCATCAATCTCCCACCGTTTTCAAAGGCACCAAACTGACCCTGTCAGAGTACGCAATCTCTGTAGCAGATTCCTCGTTAGCAGATGCTCGGTGAAGTTCTGGCCTTAGAGTGTGTGTTACAACCCAAATTCATTTTGCATTTTACATAAGACATGGGTGTTTTATTTTTCCAGCCTACTGTTAACACCCATACGTTTTTTTTTTATGAAATTTTGACAATACCCTAGGGTGTTATATACGGGGGAATACGGTAGGTCGGTGGGGGCTGGTTTGGCGCGAGAACCAAGGGCCGAGCCTGCGGACCCAAGAGGTTCGCGTGTACTCGTTGAAGCGAGCCCTAGTAAGGAATCGTAATTCCTTACAATTATGTTGCAACACATTGGTATTGAATTTGTACCTGCTAGAGTAATTCTGTAAGGAATTATGATTCCTTACTGGGGCTCTCCACAACAAGTACACGCGACCCTCTCGGGTCCGCAGGCTCGGCCGCTCGGCCCTTGGTTCTCGTGCCAAACCAGCCCCAGCCGAGCTTTTCGGCCCCAACCTCATCCCGAGTCGCTCCGAACCCATTTTGACCCTGTCACCCTCGGGACTAACGATCCCTTGACTGGTCCAAACCTCAACATTCAACCTGGTCAACTCGCACTGTATAAGCCTTAGGCCTCATTTCTATCAACATTCTGTAATCACGTTTCCCTCATTGAGCACTGCGCTATACTCTGAGTTATAATTCGTAACAAAGCCCTTCAAGGTTTTGGCGCAAGCGCAAGGGTCATGTCAGCAATTTTGCTGTGACCGCGCGAGGCGTCTTCAGGTGACAGCATTTTCTATTGGCTGAACCGAGACGCTCCGCCTGCACCAAACCCAAATCAACTCGCAAGTCGGGTGACCACACATACCCCGTGAGGGAACCAGGACTGAAGAACTCCGTCAAATGCTACCCATCCCAAACCAAGCTCTGGCCTGGCGTGGGATTCAGAGAAACGCGACTCGAAGTGGCGCTGCCCCCCAATCTTATCTGACTGGTGTGTCAGCTGACCGCGCATTGGGGAGGGGAGAAATACGCCACCCGTCAGGCCCGTCTGGCACTCTATCCGTCATCTCCCCCGCCCATAGCAACGCCGCTTCGTTCTCAGAACGACATTCCCTTCCATCCCTCTCTCCCCGGCCCCCAACCCCACCCCACCCCACCCAAATTTGAAACCCAACATTCATCCCTCATTCTCGGTTTTCTTCGCCCCGCGGGCCACGGCACGAGCCAGGACCAGCAACTCGAGATATCCCATCCTCCTCCCCTCCTGTCTCCCCCTCCCTCTGTCAGCCATTCATTTGTTGTTCTAGCTGCCTCGCTGCCAGCCATCTCGCTGCTTCGTTGTCTTAGGATCGGTCCCCCCAGCCTAGTTCCACGCTTATTCGTCTCTTTTCGAGGCAGGCTGCCGTTGATATCTAAACCTTAAATCTCTGTTGAGGTTACGAAAACTATAGTTGCTAGAAGGACGATCAAGAACGGCCAGAAAACTCTGAAGGTTGGCAGATTCCGTGCGGTTCAGCACGTGTCAGCCTGTCCGCCGCTCGGAGCCGCTCGTTCCGTGTCCTCGAGTCCGAGCTCAAGTAGACTGCAAACGAAGCCACTAACGAGTCCCAGATCGACGATAACTTATCGTTGAACGAATTGTCGTGTAGCTCCTGAACACCCGCTCGTGTGGCACGCATTTCTTATTCGCAAACCGCGGCATCCACTCGCGATCCACGCTGGAAGCCACATGGGGGAGAAGTGGGTAACACCGACCGGGCGGGCGCGGTCCTTAAAAGGCTCTTCGTCCGCACCGAGCCGCCTTAAGTCGCTCTCTAAGATCTCCCTCAGCGACCGCCGGCTGTGGGAGCAGGAACGGCGGCGCCTGATGCGGGCCGGGCGGCGGCCAGGGCTGCTAGAAAGCGAGGAGGAGGGGGAGGAGGAGGACGGGGAGGACGATTCGGAGACGGAGGAGGAGGAGGATAGCGACGAGTCGGACACGTGGTGCGCGTACTGCTGCGAGCAGCCCCGGCTGCAGAGCATCTGCGCCTTCTTCTTCGCGCTCATGCTCTTCTCGGCGCTGCTCGGCACGCTTTTCACCGCCGCCGGGCTCATCAACGTGCGCCCACTATTTCCGCTTACGTCCATTCCCGTCTCCGTCCATTCCCGTCTCCGTCCATTCCCGTTTCCGTCTATTCCCGTTTCCGTCCATTCCCGTTTCCGTCTATTCCCGTTTCCGTCCATTCCCGTTTCCGTCTATTCCCGCTTTCGTCGCCTTTCACCGCCTCCCGTGCTTCAGATCCCGTCGCCGCTCTCCTTCGTCCTTGCGCCCAATCCTCCCTCCCCTTGCCCTCCCCTTGCCCTCCCCTTGCCCTCCCCTTGCCCTCCCCTTGCCCTCCCCTTGCCCTCCCCTTGCCCTCCCCTTGCCCCCCCCTTGCCCTCCCCTTGCCCCCCCTTGCCCTCCCCTTGCCCTCCCCTTGCCCTCCCCTTGCCCTCCCCTTGCCCTCCCCTTGCCCTCCCCTTGCCCTCCCTTCCCTCTCCTCGCGCCCTTCCCGCGCCCATCCCGCGCCCATCCCGCGCCCATCCCGCGCCCATCCCGCCAGCCCGTCAGGGACTGGCTGCCTCCGCCCGCGCAGGTTCGCCCCAACCGCCCCCCTCGCCCCGCGCAAGGTGAGCGCTGCGCTGCGCCTTCCCTAGCATCCGGTTCGTCCGCGCTTCTTAATCCAATCGCTCGTCCGCTCGCGTGCTGCTCACCTCCCGTCATCCTTCGTCTCTCCTTCCTTCCTTACCTTCCTTTCGTCCTACCCCGTCCCTGCTCTCCTGTCCACTCCTTACTGGTCTCCCCCTTGTCTCAAGTTGTTCGTCTCGTCTCGCATCACTCTCCTCTCCCTCGACCTCCCCCACCCCACCCTGCCGTCCTATTCTTCCCACCAGCCGACGAGCCGCGCGCAATAGGAGTCTTCCCGCTACTCCCGGCGAGCGACCCGGGGCAGCTGCAGGCGCTGCAGCAGCAGCTGGAGCACCAGCAGAAGCTCATTGCGGCGCAGCGCCAAGCCGCGCCGTCTTCCGCGCCGTCTTCCGCGGTGGCATCCGCGGCGGAACGCACGCCGCAACAGCCGCTGCTGCAGAAGCCGCAGCAGCGGCGCAGGGGGGACGCGCGGACGGCTCCCCTGCAGCAGTTTCAGAAGCTCCGCCCGCTCGCTATCGGCGCGCAGGGGCAGGCGCAGGCGGGTGGCGCGGAGCACCGAGCGGGGAATCTGGAAACGGCGGAGCAGACGGGGCAAGCGTCAGGGGTGATGGCGCAGGGGGGACGTGCGGGAGAAGGGGACGGGTCCGCGCAAGCGAGTGAGGTGATGGAGTCGCAGCAGCAGGAGCAACAGGCGGAGCAGCAAGTGCTGATGCATGAGCAGGCGCAGGTGGAAGGCGCAGCGGCGCAGGGAGGGGTGAAACAAGTCAACAGCGCGGAGCAGGCGCAGGCGCAGGCGCTAGACGAGGCGCTAGGGTTCCGCGTAAAGAGTCTAGGGGGAGCGGGGAGCGGCGAAAGCGGGGAAACCACAGGGGCAGGGACAGGGGCAGGGGAAGGGGGAAGCATTGGGGGGAGGGGGAGTGTAGGCGTGACAGTGGTGCCGTCGTCGCTGCCTGTCATTGACGTGTTCTCGAAGCTCGACCCCACGACTGCTCGCACTGTCGCCAAGCTGTCGCCAGCGACCATCACGTGCGACAAGGCTGTTCCTCTCGCCGCTGCGGTGAGTTTAGGGCGAGGGGGTGTGGGGGGGAGGACGGCGGAGGAAGAGGCGGCGGGGGAAAAGGGAAAGGAAGGGTCAAGGGATTTGGGGGTGGAGAGGTGGGGAAAGAGTGCTAGACGTGTGTTGGCCTAGTGACTGTGACACACGCGCTCTTTCCCCGTGCTCGTGGATAGCGAGCACGCGAGCTGAATCGACTGAATCAACTCGCGTTACCTTCACTCCGTCACCCTTCCTTATACCAGTCTTCTCTCTCCTCTCCATCTCAACCGTCTACCCCCGTCTCCCCCCATCTCCCCGCATCCCCCCCCTGCAGAACGCCCCTGGCGGGGGTCAGCACAGAGCCGCGCGGCTGCCCAACTGCGAGCCACCGCCCCAGGATACGCCCTGGCTCCGCCCCTCTGCTGCCGCAGCCTCTGCTGCCGCTGCTAGTGGTGGCGGTGGAGGCAGGGGGCGTGTGGGGCCCGTGGCGGCAGCACGAGGAAGTGGTGGGAGTGGTGCGGATTCGCGAGGGGGAGTGGGCGGCATCGGGGGGGTGCAGCACATGGCAGCGGGAGGTGTGGCCCAGACAGGCGAGGTGCAGGAGGGAAGGATGCACATCCCTGACATGGGCATGGGCATGGCAGAACAGGCAGGGCCACAGCGGCACGAGGAGCAGCGGCAGCACCAGAAACAGTGGCAGCAGCAGGGGCAGCAGCGGGAAGGGTACCCGTATCAGCAGCAGCAGCGCCAGCCGCAGCGGCAGCAGCAGCAGCAGGCAGGGCGGGCAGGACACGTGGCAGCGGATAGAGAGATGGCAGCGCCATTCCAAGCTTGCGTGGACCACACGAAAGTGCAGCGCATGGGTGAGACATGGCATGGCGTGGCATGGCATGGCATGGCATGGCATGGCGTGGCATGGCATGGCATGGCATGGCATGGTCTGGTATGGCATGGCATGGCATGGCATCCTACATGTGCCTGTTCGTGATCCACACCTCACCTCGCCGCCTCTAACGTTGCCGCTTCAAACACATCCCTTCATTCGCCTTACACATCCCTTCACTTCGCCTTACACATCCCTTCACTTCGCCTTACACATCCTTCACTTCGCCTTACACATCCCGTCACTTCGCCTTACACATCCCTTCACTTCGCCTTACACATCCCTTCACTTCGCCTTACACATCCCTTCACTTCGCCTTACACATCCCTTCACTTCGCCTTACACATCCCTTCACTTCGCCTCTTCCACTTCTCGTCCCTTCCTCCAGTACTTCCCACACCTCCACACTCTCACGCCGCTCTACCTCCGCCTTCCCAACCGCTCCTCAGCATTTCCCCACTCTCTCCCGCTCTCCAGCGCTCTTGGGCCGCTCTCCTACTTTTGAGGCGCCTCAAAACCAACCGCTCCTCAGCATTGCCCTACTCTCTACCGCTTTCCAGCGCTTTTGGGCCACTCTCCTACCCCCTTCCCTTCCTTCCCTCTCCCACTCTCCCCTACCACTTCCCTCTCCCGCTTTCCTCTCCCGTGTTAACACCTCCCTCCTCCTCCTTGCCACCCCCCCCTACACTCTCCCAGCGGAGCAATCCGGGTTGCCGTATCTCTTGGTGCAGGGCCGGCACCCGGGGCTGATGCAGCAGGAGCAGGCGCCGATGCGCATTGTGTGGGTTTTATTTTTGAGTCGCCTCAAAAGTCAAGCCCTCTCTTCTCCCTCCTTCCGCCCTCCCCGCCCCTCCCCTAGTGGAGCAATTGGGGTGGCCGTATCTCTTGATGCAGGGCCGGTGCCCCGGGCTGATACAGCAGGAGCAGGTGCTGATGCGCGTGGCGCCTAAAATATAAAGCCCTCCCTTCTCCCTCCTTGCCACGCCCCCCTCCACTCTCCCAGCGGAGCAATCGGGGTGGCCGTATCTCTTGGTGCAGGGCCGGCACCCGGGGCTGATACAGCAGGAGCAGGCGCTGATGCGCGCCTTGTGGGTGGCCAAGGCGGTGGGGGCGGTGCTGGTGCTGCCGCCGCTGGTGACGAGCGTAGCGGCGCAGGGGCGCGTGAAGGAGAGCGGCATGGAACGGCTGTTCAGCACTCACTTCTTCATCACTCATGTATGTGAGCCGAGCCATGCCATGCCATGCCATGCCATGCCGTGCCGTGCCATGCCATGCCGTGCCGTGCCATACGTGAAGTTTCTCGGTAGTCACCACACGCGTGAGGTTCGGGGGGGGTGGATTGGGATGAGATGTGTGGGTGTGAGATGCGCTGGTGCGGGTGCAAGCTTGCATATCCGGGCCTCAGGCATGGCATAGCAGGGCATGGGTTGGCATGACGGTGGGTGATGGAGGACCATTGATTGAATGGCCATGGAGGACCATTGATTGAATGGCGATGGCAGTGGGACAGTGTGAAGCCTGTGTGCTCTGACTCACTGATGGATGTGCTCCTGACCATCCCTGCAACAACGCCAATCGCCATTCCATTTCTCATCACCTCGTTTCCCCCCCTTTTCCCCCTTCTCCCCCCCTTCTCCCCCCCTTCTCCCTCCCCTCTCCCCACCCTCTCCCCTGCCTTCTTCCCCCCCCTCTCCCACCCTTCCCCCCCTCCCGTCTCACTCATGGCTGCTGCCACGTCTGCTGCTCCTGCCACACCTGCTGCTGCTCTGTTGGCTGCTGTGGCAACCCTTTCTGCCCGCTGTGCGCCCCATTCTACAACAACGCCAGATGTACTGCTCCTCAGGTAAGCCTCCCTCACCCTCCCTCACTCTCCTTTGCCTCCTCTTTCCCTCTCGTGTCCTACCCTCACCTTCACTCCCCCTCGTGCTTGCCACAGCCCCACCTGGTCTGTCCCCCCTTCCCTCCCTAGTCTCTGATAATAGATAATAAGGCCAATGACCCTGTGTGCCACATCATCTACTTTCTGCTTCCTGTAGTCTATTTCTCCTTTCTCCTCTTTCTCACTGTTCGCTGCTGGTTCCCACCTCTTGGATTCCTCTCCTTAACTTATTTTTTCTCTCCCGATCCAACCCCCCAGGCATTTGGGTGGTGCCGCAGCTTCCAGGAAGCGTCTGGGACCGGCTGCCAGCAGGGGTGACCGGGGATGACGTGGACACCTTGCTGGCGCTGCCTGGTGGCATCGCGCAGCGCATCCCGCGTGGCATAGTGGCTGCCAGCGGGGACGCTGAGGATGCTGCGCTGGCAGAGTGGACGGACGCCATGAGGCAGAGAACAAAGAAGGGCGAGGTGAGGAGCGTCACTGCGTCACGGAGTGAGAGGAGACCGTTTGAGGGGCCCCTGGGATGATTGTGGGGTGATTGTGGGAGCAGTGAGAGGAGAGAGGAGGCTGGTGAGAGTGAGAGGAGTGGGTGCGCGAGTGCTCTTGGCTTGCTCTTGGTGTGCCGTTTGAGGCGTTTCCTATCCTGTAATGCACTGTTCCTCCTGACGTTCCCTGCTCTCACTCAGCCCGCATTGCCCATCCATTCGGTGTCACAGTTTGCACCATTTTTTCTCACAAGGACTGCCTTTCCTCTCCACACCCCCCTCAGGTCCGGCTGCTGGTATACAACTCCTCAGACCCCATCTCTTTCACCACCTCACAGCAGCAACAGCAAGAGCAGCAGCAGCAGCAGCAGCAGCAGCAGCAGCAGAGGGTCAGGAAGAACGCGATGGCAGCACTGCGGCTGGCGCCGCCCATAGCATCTGTGACCACCCAGCTGTTGCACTTGCTGCGCAAGGCATACCAGGCGCGCTTCGGCGACCTCTCCCGCTTCCACTTCGCCGCGCTGCACTTCAGCCTCAACGCAGGGACAGGGGCGGAGACAGGGACAGGGACAGGAGAGGTAGGGACAGGGGCGGAAGCAAGTGCCAGCAGTGCAAGCAGCAACAGCACCGGTGCCCCTTTCTCTGGTGACCTTGCTGCTGCCAGCCTGCAAGCTGCTCGAGAGGCACTGCTCACCCTGCTGGACCCCTCCAAGACTCTGCTCTATGTGATCATGCCCCCGGTGCCCCACCGCACAGCCTTCCTCAGGGAGCTTGCTGAGGCGTACCAGGTGGTAACCAGGGATGACCTCATCAGTGACGTCAGCAGCCGGTTCCCAGAGGGAGAGGTGCAGACAGCGTTGGAGCAGGGGATGGCAAAGGAGGCCGCTGTGTTCATGGGTTCGTTCAGTTCTGAGTTCTCGCGGTTTGTGTTCCAGCTGAGATGCTTCACGCGGCCACTGCTCGGGCAGTCGCAACGGGCAACTGTATTCTATGACCTTGGGTTTGCCGTTGCTCCGTGCCACGTGGACCCATAGGAAGCGGACAACGGCTTGAGTGCAAGGGGTAGAGATGCTTTGCTGGGACGCAGGAGCGGGGCTCTGACTGACTGTTTTTTAGTATAGTTGGTGTGGCTGTTGATTTTCTCAATTGAATGAATACCCTCTATACAAGGTGCTTTATTGTTGCACCCTTGTTGACTTAATTATCAAACATTCCAAAACTCCAGTTTCAGAGTACTCTTTTCATGGTGTATGCAATCGCCTCCTGGACCCTTTCTCATATTTCCCTAAACTTTCATGTCCCTAATCCACCTGTTTTTGTAGAGAGACCCACTGCGGTCGCCCTAGAAGATCCGCGGAAAATCCCAGGCCGCTACGCCTGGGGGGTTATGGGCGCACTGACCCGCTACTAAAAGAGAGGGATACAAGAAGGGGGGTTGTGTCAGAACTCAGCCACTAACCACTGAGTTAAAAGGGCTTGTTAATAGCGCGTCAGTGCGCCCATAGCCCCCCTGGCTCTGCACCTGTGGCCCTTCCCAGATGATCTTCTCAAGGGTAACCCCAGCAGGTCACTCGACACCCCCCCTCGCTGGGATAGGTGGAAGACACGAGCGCCTCTGCAGCGCTAGCACTGGGAATTGAACCCGAGTCACCAATGCTCTGATACCATGTCATAAAGGCACCAGTCCTAACCATTGGGACAAGAAGGGATGTCATCAGGAGGGTTAGGCTCCATATATCCACCTTCCCCGAGGAAAGCCTCCCCAGTACCCTCCCTACAGATAGAGAGAGGATCGACAGGGTTATCCCAGTGCCACGACACACCCCCCCGCTGGGATAGCGTGTACACCAGGAATTGAACCCCGGATGGCTTTGATACCAAGTCAGAAAGTCACTAGTCCTAACCACTGGGACAAGAACGGATATCATCAGGAGGGTTAGGCTCCATATATCCACATTCCCCGAGGAAAGCCTCCCCAGTACCCTCCCTAGAGATAGAGAGAGGATCGACAGGGTTATCCCAGTGCCACGACACCTTTCTCATATGCCCCTAAACATTCATGTCCCTAATCCACCTGTTTTTGTAGAGAGACCCACTGGGGTCGCCCTCGAAGATCCGCGGAAAATCCACAGGCCGCTACGCCTGGGGGGTTATGGGCGCACTGACTCGTTACTAAAAGAAGCCCTTGTAGCACAGTTGTTAGCGACTGTGCTTCCTCAGAGTATTTCCCACCCCCCAGGAAATCCCAAATCCCAGATAACATTTTCAACACGACGCTCCGGTTTAGGGCTTCGTTCGTATGATAAAGACTCTGAATATGACGATAAGTCAACCACATCTCTGCCAGCAGCGTCTCTGTCTGCCCAATGCTTCGTAGTAGTACCCTCTCCCCCTCCCCTCCCCATGCACGCACTCCTTCGCTGCTACTTCCTCTGCCCCACTTCCTCTGCCTCACCTCCTCTGCCTCACATCCTCTGCCTCATCTCCTCTGCCCCACCTCCTCTGCCCCACCTCCTCTGCCCCACCTCCTCTGCCCCACCTCCTCTGCCCCACTTCCTCTGCCCCCTTCTCCCCCTTGGGAAAGGAGGTGAGGTATGTGCAAAGTATTGAAGGTTGCCGTAAAAAGAGTAGATTATTCAAGACCAGGTTGTAAAGAAAGGTTATGAAAACGCCTGTCGGCACAAGTATTATCGAGCATCTGGGAATGCGAGATCGACAAGGATGGCTACATCAAAAGGATGGCTACATCAGAAGGATGAGGTTCAGGCATTGGAAGGCCAACAGCAATGACGCCCAAACTAGAAGCAAGAAATGACACAAGACAACTGCTGCTGATGATACCCATAATCTGAAACCCATAGCCTGAAACCCATAATCCGAAACCAACTCAAATTGTTGAATCCTAGAGATGGCAGAAGATGAAAGGTCAAAGCAGTACCAAGCAGCATCCTCGTGTGGTTACCACGATGCCCAAGTTCCGTTGCTGCGTTGGCGCAAACAGCTCAAAGCGTAGCAAGCGAGGAAGTCCACAAGGTAGTAAAATTACCAGAAAGCTCCACGCCGTTCACGGTGATTGAAGAGTACAAGCTCTCGGGGTTCCTGTTGAAAATGTCCCAACCGACCATCAGGGTAGCATATCCTTGATGTGGGAAACACCTCGTCGATTTTGCAGGACCAGCCCTAGGTATAGACAGGGTCCTTCTTGAATGGGCAGCTTGTGAAGCTGAGCAGCACGGTGGCGGTCGGGCGAAAAGCATTGAGGGAGCTTGATGGTCGGAATACTGATCGTTGGAGTGGTCCAGCACAACCATCAGGGTGAAATTGTAGTTGGCGATCTGGTAGTAGGGATTGCTGAAGTGGGTTTGGGGTGTACACACGGGTGGATACACAAACGTGTGAATGAACCACATCTAAACAATGTGAAACCGGGTGGGGTTGGACCCGCTCCACTTTGTGTTCACTAAGTCTCAGTCGATGAGGTTGCGACGAAGTGAGAGTGAAGTTGGGACAAAGACTTCGTACAAGCTTGGACACCTATGGCAAAGGCATCGTGCTGAGGTGCTATGATAGCCCATCATCAGAGGGCGTGAAGCTGACCCTTAGTGCATACGATGCAGATCCGAACAGTCACGTTGGTTTCCGCAACATGCTCGTCATGTCCCATGCCCCATACGAAACACTAAGCGACATGAAGGGGGGAATCTCAAGGAACTCGATTGCGCGCTGCTCTACTTCATTTCTACTCCGATGATCGGCTTCAGCTATCACAAGAGCGCTACCACCAAGACCGAACTAATCAGCTATGTCGACACCGATCACGCCGGCGACAAAGACAACAGGCGCTCCCTCGCTGGCTATGTCTACCGTCTGGAGCCTATCGGCACTATCTCCTAGCACTCGAGGAAGCAAGAACTAATCACCCTCTCATCTTCTGAAGCTGAATATATCGCCCTCTGCATAGCTATAAAGGAAGGACTCTACCTCCGCGAGCTGCTCAAAGAATCGAAGATCGCCAAATTACCGAGCTTCTCCCTTTTCTGCGATAACCAATCAGCGATCAGGAGCCCAACAAAAATGGTTTGGCGAACAGGACGAACCACATCTCGCTTCGTTATTTCTTCGTGAAAGATGAGATCGAGTAGGGAAGACTCCAGCTGGCCTACTGCCCCACTACCGAAATGGCAGCCGACTACTTAACCAAGGAGTTGACGAAGACGAATTTCCAGTACTGCATGCTGCTGACTGGACAACAACACGTCAGCAATAAAGGGTAGCGTTGGAAATAAAAGAACGACTTGGAAATGAAGGAGTCTCGCATGCTGTACAAATGCGCGAGAGCCACAACATCGAGGATTGCCAAGTCAATCCAGTACCTTTGACGATTGACGGAGGTTGATGACACTTCACGGAGGTTGCGAAAGGGCAAGGGTCGCAGACCGTTGACCCTGCAACCCAACAATCAGAAGTACAAGGGTCAAAGTCAGCATGACAACAAGGACAAATAACTGTCCCGGTATTACAGTACGGATGGTTACCCGCGTCGCTCCTATCGAGTCGTTAAGGGAATGTACCCCTTGAGGTGCATAGTTAGTTAGACTCTTTATATTCTCTTGTGTTATTATATAAGACCTTGTACCCCTTCGCTATAACCTCTCACTTGTAATCACTTGTTCTCACGTACCAGTACAAGGGTTCACTCAGACTTCCGTTGTGCTATCAAACACTTTGCTACAAGGACTTCGTTTCTGAATACAAATCCTAGGGCTATTCTCAGCCCAACACCCTGTCAACTGCAGGTGCGGTGATGCGTTGTTCGGCAGGAAGCTAGACGATAGAAGATTCTGCAGCATCACGACATGGTCCAAATGTCAACATCGATTTTGTATATGTTATCGGCTAGATAGGTGCACTCTTATAGAGAGTACAACCCCTTAGACAAAACCATCCTGTATCTCTCATTCTACTCAACAATTCTACTCTGAGATGGTATCACGCACTAGGCTAGGTCCTCCCCGCCCAACCGCGCTTCCGCTCTAGTCCTAGCCCTAGCCGCCCGTCGCTAGCCGGACGCTGCTAGCCGCCGTTTCGAGCCGCCCGTCGCTAACCGTCCGTCGCTAGCCGCCCGTAGCCATGCGCCCGCTGGCCCCGCGATCATTAGCCCCGCACCTGCTGGCCCTGAGCTCGCCAGCCCCACGCCCGCCTGCCCTGCGCCCGCTGGCCCTGCATTCGCCAGCCCCGTGCTTGCTGGCCCCGCGCCCACCCGCCGTGCGCTTGCAGGCCCCGATTTCGCCAGCTCCGCGCCCGCAGGCCCTGCATTCGCCAGCCCCTCACCACCAGCCTCGTGCTCTCTGGCCCCGCGCCCACCGGCCACTGAGCTCGCCAACCCTGTGCCTGCTGGCCCCTGCGCCTGCTGGCTCCGTGCACGCCAGCCCCGTGCCAGCTGGCCCTACGCCCGCCAGCCCTGCGCCTTCTGGCCCCGTGCTCGCCAGCCCCGAGCCTACTGGCCTCGCGCCTGTCATTCCTGCGCCCGCTGGCCCTACGCCCGCCCGCCTCGCGCCTGCTGGCCCCGAATTTGCTGGCCACTTGCTAGGCCGCCCCGTGCCCGCCAGCCTTGCGCTCACCAGCCCCGCACTCGCTGGCCCTACAGCCTACCATTAGTCACGCCCTCCCCTTGTCTGAGCGTCCCCGCTATACAGCTGTAACAAACGCGAAGGAGTACTTAGATGCAGTCATTGCGTGCCATTCCACTCCCTCCTCAGCCTCTGCTGGCCGCCTGATCCTCCCCATGCCGTTCCTTGATCTTGCGTCCTTCCCCACTGTCGGTGACCTTGCCTCTCACCTCCGCGCACTTGAGACTAGACTGCGCCGCTAGCACTGAGGCATTGCTCACTGCCTTCCCGCCGCCACTTTGCGCTACCCTTAACCTCATTGCCACGCGACTTCCTGACCGCCTAGCCACTGCCCGCGACCACTTCCTTAGTCAACACCCATGTGACCTCACCCTTACCGCCTTCGTCACCGCACTGTCCGCGATAGACCCGCCAGCGCACTATCGCTCAGTCTAGCGGTACTGCGGTGGTCCCTATCTTCCAGGGTTGTGCTCCCTCCCAGTGCACTTACTCTAACATTTGTGCTGTTGTTGCTGAGACAGCCCCGGCTGCTGAGACTGCCGCCGCGGCCTCAACACCGCCGCGTCAGGGTAGGGGCTGCTACCCTAAGGGGGGGCGTGGCGGAGGGAAGGGTGGTGGGGGTGGTGGAGGAGGGGGTGGGGACGGTGGTGCAGATGAGGGGATTGGGGCTGATGCCCCGGAGCAGCAGCAGCAGCAGCCTCACCAGCAGCAGCCACAGCAGTCACAGCAGCAGCAACAGCCGCCGTGGGGACCCTCGCCGCCGCGGTGGCCTGGCGGCGCTGGTGGTGGTGGTCGTGGTGGTGGGCCGCGCAGCTCGGTGTCGGGTGGCGGCTCTAGTGGGGTCACTTGCTAGTACCAGCTTCAATCTGCCGCTCCCCCCGCGGCACTGTCTGCGACCGTCTTGGTCACACCACCGCCCGCTGCTACCGCCGCTCAATGACCTCTTCCGTCTCCACTTCGGCCTCACGTCGGACCCCCCTGACTGGTACATCGTGGTGCGTTGTTGTGTCCCTGTCTTTGAGCTTGACATGGATTAGATTAGGTCTGCTATGTATGCCATGTATGCTGATGACTCTAGTGTGACTAGACCCTATTACCCGGTGTTGCCTAGGGAAGGTGTGTCCATTGTGTGTAGTCTAGGTTCCCCTGCTGCGTCAGGCATAGGGCCACCTGCCTTGTTTAGCCTCGACTCCACTCTTGCTCCTCCACCTGCGGCCACTACCGCCACGCTCTCGTCCACACTAGACTCTGGTGCGTCAGCCTGCTTCTTCCGCGACCACACTGCGCTCACTCCGCTTGCTGCCCCTGCCACTGTAGCGCTTGCTGACCACTCCTCAGATCCGATAGTTGTGCGTAGCTCCACTACCCTTCCCTGTCTGGCGGTTCCCTAGGACTCTCTTACTGGATTGTACATCCCCTCGTTCTCCAAGAACCTAGTTGGTGTCGCCTGTCTTCAGGACCTCGGCATCACCACTTCGTTCCCTCGACAAGAGCGGTGCACAGTCTGTACCGAGGCCGCCACTGGTGCCCCTCTCACCACGTTCCTCCGGGACCCGGTGTCTGGCCTGTTTACCCTAGACACCATGTCCCCCCCAATGGGCGCGTCCCCCCAGGTCGCTGCGTCCTCCCAGGCTACTACGGCTTGCTCGTGTCGGTCGCTCACCCACTCGTCGCTTCTGTGGCACCATCGCCTAGGTCGCCCCTCACTCCTCCTTGCTTCCCCCTACTACTGCGCCACTCCAGACCCTGCACCTGGAAGTCCGGGGCCCAACCCCTGTCCCTGGGTTGCGTCAAGAGCGCTACTTCCTAGTGCTTGTCGACGACTACACGCACTACACCACTATGTTTCCCCTGGAGCGGAAGGCCGACGTGCCTGACGTTCTTATCCCGTGGGTCGTAGCTGCGCGTGTCCACCGCGGTCTCCCCGTGTTGTGTCTCCACTCCGACCATGGTGGCGATTTTGCCTCTGGTCGCCTTGGCCAGTTCTGTCGTGCGGAGGGCATCACCCAGTCGTACACCCTGCTTGACTCCCCACAGCAGAATGGGGTCGCTGAGAGACGCATCGGTTTGGTCATGAAGGTGGCTCGTACCTCCATGATCCATGCCGGTGCACCTCATTTTCTGTGGCTGTTCATTGTTCGCTACGCCGCTCACCATCTTAACCTATGGCCGCACTCACAGCGACCGCAGGTTTCACCGACCCTCCGCTGGACTAGGTTCCCTGGTGACGCGTCTGCGTTCCACGTCTGGGGCTGCCTTGCTCACGTTTGTGCCTCTGGCACGGACAAGCTCAGTGCCCGCACCGTCCCTTGTGACTTCCTTGGTTTCCTGCTAGACGCGTCTAACTGGCACTTTTACCACCCGCTGTCTCACCGTTTCTTCCACTCTCGTGATGGCACTTTTGACGAGTTTGTCTCCTTCTACACTTGCTTTCCCCACCGAGGTCTCCCGGTTGCCCCGCCCCTGTTCCTGATCCCTACTCCCCCGGTAGCCCCTACTCCTCTTCCTCCCCATCCTACCCCGTTTGGTGTGTCTCACGTCCCTCCCCTCCTGTCGGTAGTACGGGTGGAGGAGTCGGCTGACTCCGGGGGGACCTGCGGCTTCGGTTTCGCCGCCTGACTCCGCCCCGGTGTCTCCTCCTCCTCCGCCGCAGCAGCAGCCGCAGTCGTCGCCGCAGCAGCCGCAGTTGCCGCCGCAGCAACAGAAGCCGTAGCCGCCGCAGCAGCAGCCACCGCCGCCACCACCGCCGTCGCCGCAGGGGTCCGCTAGCTCTGAGGGTGTGGCCGTTGAGGGGGGTGCTAGTCCTGGGGTTACTGATGTGGCTTGTCCCGGCAGTCCTGGGGGTGGCACCGGTGTTGGAGAAGGTTCTCGCTCTGGGGGTGCTGGTTCTGGGGGTGCTATTCCTGGGGGTACTCTCGTTCTGGGGTTGCTGTCGTGGAGCATCCCGGAGGTAGCCGTGGTGCAGTTGGAGTTTCTGGTGTCGTTGTGGAGCAGCAGCAGCAGTCACGACCACTGTCCGCCCTTTGCCTCCTCGTTCTTCCCTCCCCTGACCACCCACGTGCGCCTCCCCCGCCTGTCTACCGGCCCTGTGTTTCCTCAGCCGGACTCGTCTCCGACTCGTTTCCCCCCTTGTTCTCCTCTTGTGTCTCCTCCTATGTCTCTTGACCCGACGCCTCCCTCCCACTTCAAGACTCGACGTATCTCTCGTGCTCATCCTGTCTCTCTCGTTCAGCGCTCTCACCCTATGTTGCTCCGTTCCCACGTGCCTCGTCCTCCCCTCCTCCCGTCGCCTCCTCTGTCATCCCTTGTTGTCGCTCCGCCTCCCTTGTTTGACTTCCTTTGTGCAGCTAGTCCTCTCGTTCCTCGTGTCCTTGCCTCCCTCGTTACCGACCCGTCCGTTCCTGTCTCCAGTCTTGACACGCTTGTCGCTGTCGTCACTGACTTTGCCTCTACACACCGCCTTGACTATGCCACCGCTCTGGTCTCTGTTCCTGCCCGTCCTCCATCCGTCGGGGGTGCTCCTGCCGTTGGCAATGACATCCTAGAGGACCATCAGTATGATCTCGCTTTCCTGTTCGAGGCTGCTCCTCATCTCTGTTCCATGCTGCTAGTCCCTGAGGGTGACCCAGACGCCTTTAACATCCCAACCCCTCGCACCTATGCTGAGGCGATCTCGGGACCCTGGGCCTCTTAGTGGACAGCTGCCATGGACGTGGAGATGGCATCTTGAAAATCCACAGGCACCTACGTCGACGCAGTTCCCCCACCTGGGGTGAGCGTAGTCGATGGCCGGTGGCTCTTCAAGGTGAAGCGCCCTCCCAGTGTTCAAAGCGCGCTACGTTGCTCGAGGCTTTAGTCAGTGCAAGGGTGTTGACATCTTCTAGACCTTCGCTCCGACCCCAAAGATGACCACTCTTCGGGCATTGCTATACATAGCAGATCAGCGTGACTACGAGCTGCATTCCTTCCACTTCTCTAAGACGTTTCTTCAGGGCAGTCTGCACAAGCAAGTCTACCTGCTTCGCCCACCAGGCTTTACCGGTACCTTCGCCCCGGTGACCCAGTGGCTCCTCCGGCGCCCAGTTTGCAGCCTGCGGCAGGCACCGCGCGAGTGGCACGATACGCTGCGTGCTACGTTAGCTGCGCTCCAATTCTTCCCGTCGTCTGCAGACCCCTCGCTTTTCGTTCGTTCTGGCCAGACCCCATTCAACATCCTAGTCTACGTAGTCGACCTGGTCTTTGCTACTGCAGACAGATGTGCACTGGCCTCCATGAAGGTTGAGCTGCTGAGGAGACATACCTGCACTGACCTAGGAGAGCTATGCCACTACCTTGGCCTACAGATCTCCAGAGACAGAGCAGCGTGCACCATCACTCTCACACAGTCACACTTGGTGTGCCAGGTCCTTCAGAGGTTCGGCCTTCAGTTCTCCTTCGCACAGCCCACACCTCTGCCAGTAGATCACAGGCTCTCGGCTCCTATCCTTGAGGAGTCAGTAGAGCCCAGTAGTCCTTACGCTGAGCTGGTGGGTTGCCTCATGTACCAGATGACTTGCACTCGTCCAGATCTGCATAACCTCTCAGCATCCTGGCTTGCTTTGTGGCCACAGGCAGACACCGACCACATCACTGGTCGGCCGCTAAGAGGGTTTGCGTTATCTAGCAAGTACATCGGGCATGGGGCTAGTGCTAGGTGGACGCAAGCCAGTGGTCCTTACAAGGCACACAGACGCTTCATGGGCAGACGACGTTGAGACGCTCAAGTCCTCCCAGGGCTACTGCTTTAGCATTGGTGCAGGCGTTATCTCAAGGAGGTCCACCCGCTCGTCATCTGTTGCACAGTCTAGTTGCGAGGCTAGGATCTACAATGGTGCCATGGCGGCACAGGAGCTCCATTGGCTGACCTCCTTGCTCACTGACTTAGGTGAGCGGCCTAGCTCTGCCTTGGTCCTGTACGCTGACAAGAGGGCCATGATCCTCCTGTATCAGGAGCCTCGACTGGAGGGCAGAGGGAAGCACATCTAGCTACGGTACTTCCTCCTGCGTGAGTTACAGCAGCGCCGCCAGGCCCGCGTAGTTCACTTGGCCTCGGGTGCCAACACAGCTAATATCTTTACAAAGGCACTTGAATGGCCTTGTGGCCCCTTTTTCCAGTGGCTGGACTAGTAGTGCTGCTCTGGGTTGCTCTTTCTTCCTGTGTACTCTTGCAGACTGGTCTTCGGACCCTTGCTTCATAGGTTGGACAATAGTGCCACCCTGAGCTGCGTGTCTCATGCTGTTCGGTGTCCCTTGTCTAGCCTAGGGGGTGTATTAAAATCTATTTTGTATATGTTATAGGCTAGATAGGTGCAGTCTTATAGAAAGCACAACCACTTAGACAAAACCACCCTGTATCTCTTATTTTACTCAACAATTCTACTCAGAGACCATCGCCTCTGGCCACATTGAGTAGGGCAATCGCATTCCATGTAGCAGTTTGCGCATGATATTATGCAACGTACTAATCATGCGTTCTGTTACTCCCTGCTGCTGATGGGCGTAAGGAAGAGAGACGAGTTTCTTGATTTGTCTTTCTGCTAAGTAGTCATTGAAGCACTACGACTGGTGTTGTGAGAGGTTTTAGCTAGGTAGGAAGAGAATAGCGAGAGAAAAGAGAGTCGAATAGGAGAGAGAGAGAGGTACAAGAAGTGGGTTGTCCTCTCTACAGTAGGATCCAGTAATTTGTAGAATATCTACCAAGCCTACACAAATATGTATATAATATATATATGTTGACACACCCCGTATGTGAGAGTACGACCCCGTTACACCACTTGGCCTTTTCTTATTTCCTTCCTTCTTCATTTCTCTTTTATTCCATCTCATTTGGTTTCCTATTCTTCCTTTTCCATTAACCTTTGGTTTATCCTGCTACTATAATTATATCACCGACCAGGCTTGGGATGTACTGGTGCGCCCTATCTAGCGTAATCCTGCTGTAATCCCTTAAAGCCAATAGCCTCGCGTGGCTATACGCAGGGTGATTCTATATTCTAGAAGGGTCTATTCCCTTAGGATAAGATAAACCTGGTTACCTGATGTACTCTGGAAGTATAAAAGCGCCTTGTACTGATCGATAGTGCAACCTTTCC